ATATCCGATTTGATCAAAATTAATTTACTCCTTCAAGTTCTATGACAGAATTTACAGGAAAACTTGAAACACCATTTAATCAATTAACCACATCCCATATACAAGCCTTAACAACCTGAAGTTTTAGAGTTTCTGCAATAGTCAGGACTTACAGCAACCCTGTGTGTGCAGAGAAAAACTGCACTCCATATAGAGTTGCAATGAGTCAGAATCAACTCGAAGGCAACTGGTTTGATTTATTTTTTGGTATTAGTCAAGAATCTGGGTAAAGTTTAATGAAGCACATCTCAAAATATCTTATGCAAAAAGAGAATTTATTAGGTCCTGTATTTGAGAAGCTTGGAATCTAGCTTCCAGCATAGTTGTCCCGGCTCTTTGCTCTCCTACGCCCCTCCCCAAATAGCTCCATTTCCAGCTCTGCTTCCCTCTTTTGGGTGCCTACTGATAAAAGCTAGTTTGTGTCAATATTTATGGATTCCAGTAGACTCAACACCTTATCCTCACAGTTTAGAAACCCCAGAAGACAGAATACATCTTCTTCCACCGATGGCTGTATTATTGGTCATAAATAAGAACTCTGTTTGGCCTACTTAATTCATGGAATGTCACCAGCTTTATGAAGAAGTGGGATGAGAGTGACTTTGATTAACAGCCTAAGACTTCTTGGAATGGGAAATGAGGTCCCCAATGGAAAGAGTTCTGTTCACAGAAAGGAAGAATGAGAAAGGGTTCTGAGTTGACAAAACTCCAGCAAGTGCCATACTCACAGAAAGAAATTTCAGTGTTTAATTTTTGTTCTATTCTCCTTCATTTGTTAATTCAAAATTTTTTTGCAGAACACTTATGTTATGAATTGAATTGTGTCCCCCCAGAATATGTGTTGTAAATCTTAACCTCTGTGCCTGTGGTTATAATCTCATTTGGGAATGTGTTGTCTTTGTTAGTTAATGAGGAAGGATTAGTGTAGAGTGTATCTTGAGTCAATCTCTTACAAAATATAAAACAAGCAGATTAAACAAGCAGACATGTGGAAAGACTGGTGCCAAGCTGCATGAAGATCTCCAAGGAACCAGGAAACAGAAGCTGAAGAGACAAGGACCCTCCCCTAAAGCTGACAGAGAAAGAAAGCCTTCACCTAGAGCCAGCACCATAGACTTCTAGACTTCTAGCCTCCTAAACTGTGAGAAAATAAATCTGTTTGTTAAAGCCATCTGCTTGTGGTATTTCCGTTATAGTAGTACTAGATAACTGAGACAACTTACTATAATCTAGATTTTGTGCTGGGTGTTTAAGAAATACCAGAAAGAAGAAGAAAAAGAAGAAGGAGAAGAAGAAAATAAAGGGTCCTTCAATAGCTTTGTACTGGTTTCCAATGGCTGCTGTAACAAATTACTACAAGCTTAGTGGTTTAAAACAACACGAATTTACTCTCTAATATTTCCAGGGGTCAAAAGTCCAAAATAAGTTTCAGTGGGCTAAATTCAAGGTGTAGGCAGGCTGGATCCTTCTGGAGGCTCCAGGAGAGAATCTATTTCCTTGCCTTTTCCAGCTCCTGGAATCCTCCTGCATTCCTTTACTAATAAACCCTTACTGGAATAACTCGACTCTTTGCATCTGCTGTCACAACTCTTAGTTCCTCCTCTGTAATCAAATATCCTTCTGCCTCTTTCTTATAAGGACATTTGTGATTGCTTTTAAGGCCCACCAGGATAATAGCCTCATCTCAAAATCTTTAATCATATCTGCAAAATCCCTTTAGCCATATAAAGTAATAGTCACAGGTTCTGGAGATTGGGTAAAGATTGCCAGCCTACCACAAGCATGGTCCAGGAAGATGTGACAACTCAAGCAAACCGATAGCCATTCTATCAGGCAAAGAATGACTCATTTTACAAGAAAGAAACCACGAATGATATAGACGGTGAAGAAACAATTTTCAGCATGTCGGTTCTGGTTTGGCTTCTTGAAAGATAATGCTAACAATGATAAGAGAAAACTTTTATATTGTTTATTGTTTATGAGGCATTGTTCTAAGTGTTTTACTTACAGTTACTCACTTGTCATCATTGTTGTTAGCTGTCATCAAGTCATTTCCCAGCGCATGGCAAGCCCATGCACAACAGAACAAAAACACTGCCCAGTTCTGCACTCGGTTCTCACAATAAGCCATCCTCATGTTATAGAAGCGGAAACTGAGGCACACAAATTTTAAGTGACTTACCCAACAGCACATTGCACTAGCAGAGCTAGGATTCAAACCCGGGTGTCTGATTCCCAAGTGGACAAGCAAGCTGACATAACAGGGAGATGGAAGGGTATTATATGCAGAGAGAACAGAATGAGAAAAGGCAAAAGGCAGGAAAATGAGAACAGACTCAGATAGATGAAGAGACTGGGTTGGATGGAGCATAACAAGTCTGGGAGAAGTAGTGAGAAACCACACTAGAGATTTAGCTTGAGGCCAGTACATGAAAGACCTTGAAACTATGAACATCATCCATGGCAGATGGGAAGCCCTTTGAGACATTTGAGCAGAGGAGGGGCATGTCAGAGCTGTGCTTGGGAAGACTGAGATGGCAGCAATGTGAAGGTAACTGTCCTTCTCCGCTCTCATGATATTTTGTATATTTAGAAAGTGCCCATGTATTTGTCCTCTAGAGAGTGGGTCCTTGGGGGGCGGCTGAGTGTCTGATCCACCTCTGGATGCAAGTGCCAGTAGATGGTATAGTAAACCACGGGGCACAGTACAGCGAGGGCAGGAGTCAGCAGGTATGGGTGCTGGGGCTACAACAGCTGCTGCTGTTGCTGATGATGGAAAATAATATCATTTTGGAGGCAATTTAAGGTGCC